CGCTGCCGTAACGGTGGAAAAAAAAAATCCCCTTGCCAACGCCTGGGCCTCATCCTGCATCATCTCCCCGCCGCTGCAAAACCCCAGCCAGCGGTGCGGCGTGCGGTGCTGAGCCTGTTCGGCTCACCGTTCCATCCCTTGGCTTCAGTTGTTGGGGCGGCTCTGGAAAATGCCGGGAGCGTCGTTATCGAGGCGGGGAAGTACAGGCTGTGCGAGGGCTGGGGAAACTGAGGCAGGGCAGGGGGTCAGGCGCTCCGCGTCCCTAAAGCCCATCCTCCGGTGGGTGCCCATAATTACAACAAATTAATCCGGCGGTGAGAATGTTAATCAACGTCAGGCTGTAACGAAGAGGGGAGGTCTCAGCCGGCGTCCCTGAGGACCTCGGCTTCAACGTGTTTTGGGGGGGGATGGATTTCTTAGGGGGGGCAGATTTCCTGGTGGGGGGCTTTGACCCATCACCGTAATATTTGGCTCTAGACAGTTTCCTCCTTGCCTGGTAGAAAAGGCCGATATCGGCTTGGTGGGCAAGTGGGGAAACTGAGGCACGGCTCTGTTCTCAAGCACCGAGCAGGATCTGGCCAGGATCCCTCCCCATTGCTCGCTGGGGACCACCGGGGAGGTGGTGGCCTCCATCCGTGATGATGATGATTGGGTTAATTCTTCCTTCTGTGGTTGCAGAGCGGCTTTGTGTCCCAACCGGGAGCAGTAGGAGGGACACAGCCCCACGTGGCCGGGGGACACAGGCTCATCCCACGAGGAGATGGGGGACATGGGGGTTTGGTGGCTCCAGCAACCCCCGTAGCAGCAGCAGGTCAGGGGAACCTGGTCCCAACACGCTGTGGTGGCCAGGTGGGACATATCTGCACCCAGGGCTGTTGGTGGTATCCCTACACCCGGGGCTGTTGGGGCGTCCGAGCACCCAGGACCTTTGGAGGGTCCATGTCCACAGGGGTTTTGGGGTATATCTGTGCACTGACAGCATTCGGGGTGTCCCTGCACCCATGGCCTTTGGGGTGTCTCCATTAATGGGACACTTTGAGTGTCTCTGTGACCAGGTTCACTGGAGCATCTCCACGCCTGGGGTCTTTGGGGCATCTCTATACCTATGGCCTTGGGGTGTCCGAGCCTCCAGGGACTTTGGGGTGTCCCTGCACACAGGGTCTTTGAGGTGTCCAAGAACCCAGGGATTTTGGGTTGCCCCTGCACCCAAAATACTTGGTGTGTCTCATGCCCAGGCCCTTTGGAGCATCTCCGCACCCAAAACTTTTGGGATATCTCTGAAGCCAAGGCCCTCGGAGCATTTTCTGCACCTAAAACTTTTGGGGTAACTGGCACCCAGGGTCTCTGGAGCATCTCCACAGGTGAAGTTTTTGGGGTATCTCTGCATCTATGTCTCTGGAACATCTCTGCAGCCAAAATTTTTTGAGCTATCTCTCACCCAGAACCTTTGGATCATCTCCACAGGCAAAATTTTTGGGGTATCTCTGCACCCAGGGTCTCTGGAGCATCTCCCCACACAAAACTTGTGGGGTGCCTCTGGAATGTTTCTGCATCCAAAACTTTTGGGGTGTCTCTGCTCTCAGGGCCCTTGGAACATCTCCACGCCCAAAAGTTTCGGAGTATTTCTGCACCCAAAAATTTGGGGGTGATTCTGCTCCAAGGGTCTCTGGAGCATCTCTGCACCCAAAACTTTTGGGGTGTTGCACACCCAGGGCTTTTGGAGCATCTCTGCACCCAAAACTTTTGGGGTGTCATTGCACGCAGGGTCTCTGGAGCATCTCTGCACCCAAAACTTTTGGGATGTCTCACACCACGCGCTCTGGAGCATCTCACCCCCAGGCTGAGCTGCAGGGGCGTCCCCCCCGGGCGCTTGAGGGGGGGTCTCCGAGCCCCACAACCGAGAAGACCCCAACCCATCTGCTTCCCAAGACTGGCAGACCACCCCATCCCACCACCTCCCCGTACATCCTCCCCCACCCCATTAATCCCCCTCCTGCGGTACCACAGCCCAGCGCCGGGGTGCCCAGGGTGCCGGGCGGGAGGCGAATTCCTACGGGACCGCTCCGAGCGGAGCCGCCGGAGAGACGGAGGGCGCCGGGACCGACCCATGTAGGGCTGTGAGAGCCAGGGCGGGCTCCTGACGCGGCCGCGGAGGAAACCAGGCGTCTCTGTGCGCTCGGTGTCATGTACTTCCTAATCCTCCCGGATTCCTCCATCGGGGTGGAGAGGGAGCGGAGGGGAGCTGGACGCCAGCCGGGCTCCTCCGGTGTTCAGCCTCCCCACCGAGCCCCCACGTCGGCGCTGACACCCGCCACGTAGCTCCCCTCCATCGTGTCACCCCAAAACTCATTTTGTCTTTCTTTCCACCCGGGCAGGACATGAGGAAACACGTCATCATGACGCTGCTGGACACGGAGCAGTCCTACGTGGAGTCCTTGCGCACCTTGATGCAGGTAACGCGGCACGACCGGGGACGTGGCACCCCAAACCGTGTCACGGCGTGGCCGTCCCTTGCTTGTCACACAGTCCTCGGGACCCCACGTCGGACCCCCAGCCGTGGGTGCTCTACCGGCACTGATGCGGCGTGGGGATGGATTGGGGACGGGTGGCAGTGGGGATGTTGGGGATGGCAGGACCGGAGGTGGGAGCAGCGTGGCAATAGTGTCAAGAACAGGATGTGAGGGTCACCTCTGTCCCCCAAATCACACCCGTAATGTTCCTGGTGGGTTGTCACCTGGCGGGTATCATGTCCCCAAGCCCCTTCCCATGCTTGCTCCCCAAAAGCTCCTCCTTATGTTGCACCCCATCTCCTGGGCTGATGGCCATCCCATGCTGGAGGACCTCTTACACCCCCTGTTCCCATGTCCCCCCATTTTCTGCTCAGCGTCATCACCTGCAGCCACGGGCCAAGGGTTTTTCTCAGTCCTTTTTTTACTGAGCTGGTTCCAACCCCCTTGGAGCAGCCTGACCGGAGAGTCCACCCCACGTTTCAGATGTTAATGAAGGTGTTTCAGAAGGTTAATGGTGGTCAACGCCCTGGAGACTAGGTCACGCTGACGTAGGTGTGGGTTGTCCAACCACAGCGCTGCAGGTGGAAACACCAAAAAATCAGAGCTCTGCGGTGCCTGTAGGACATCTGCTGGGCATGTCCATGAGGGCATGGGGCACCCATCATCCCAACACCAGGCTTTCCCCATAAATCCCCTGCGAGGGTGCTTCCATGGTGGCCCCAGATGTGCTCTGCCAGATGTTGCTGCAGGAGGGAAGGACCCTTTGAGGCTACTCCTAGTGCAGATGTTGGCTTGGAGGGGCGAGAGGACCCTAGCTCTGAGGCTTGTTTTGGGGGAAGCTGTACAGGGTTTGGGGTCAGGTAGTGTCTCTGCTGGTCTTGGCATGGACAGAGAATGTCCCATGGGCTGTGTCCTCCTCTGAGGTGGGACAGGAGGCTGGATGGAGAGAGGACAGCCATGCTGGGGGCTCACCGGTTCGCCACTGGAGGGACTGGTTGGACACAGGTGGGAGGCACAGGGCATTAATGCCTGAGCTCTTGCCTGTGGGACACATCCTGGCACGGTGCAACCAGGGGGACCTGGCTTTCTGGGAGCGGTGACAGGGCTCCAGACGCCCCCAGCTCCCTGTCTTAGCTGGGACAAGGTGCTTGGATCTGTGATGTGGCCCAGTCGCATGTAGCACGGTGGCTACCAGGGACCGGGACCACCTTGGAGCATCATCTTCCAGCCAAGCCAGATGGTGCATGGGCAAGCCCTGCCTGTGCTTCTCGTATGCCAAGGCAGGGGCTGTCTCCAAGCTCTTCTTCCCCATCTGGTCCTCCTTCCCACAATTTCATAGTGGGTGGGATGCATGGCACAGCCTGGGCCAGCTCCCGCTGGAGGTGTTGGCCACAGTAGGGCAGATGAGGCAGATTATGAGCCTCAGGAGGGATTTGGCCCTTCTAACTTGGGTTTTCACGAGACATCCACCATCAGCCTGAGGAACCTCATCCTTGGGGGATCTCCAGCTTGGATGGAGATGTCCAATGCTGCTTGAGGAGGGTCCTGTCCTCACGGTTCACCTCCACGGTCCTCCCAACATCCTGAAGGACGTCAGCACCCCATACTGCTTGGGCTGAAGAGGAGGCAAGGCCTGAGAAGACCTTCCTCATCCTGCATCTCTTGCAAACCCTCTGCCATTCCCACGGGCACTGCTCCCCTCTGCAGCTCTGCCCCATGGGGAGAAGAAAGGGGTTTTGTGACAGAGCTGCACACCCAGCCTTGCAGAGGACCTGCTCTTGTCCCACTTTTCCTACTGACCCTGAGCATCGCTCGTTGGCCATTGCCCAAGAGAGGTGGTGAGGTGGTCCAGGGCTTGACCCGGTGTGTCCACCCCACTCACCCCAGCCCCCCCCCCCCCCAGCCTCTCCTGGTCCCAAACACCCTAAATCCCACCGGGAACCCACCGGCTTTTGGATCGCAGGGTTGTGCTGCTGTGATTCTCCAGCTGGGTCAGGCTTTGTAGTGGATGGAGGTGACCAAGGCTCATGACAGCAAAGGTTTGGAGCCTCTCAAGGCCGTGGCTGGGGGTTAGAGAACGCCGTGCTTGGGGCTTGCTCGTGCAGACCAGCCCTGCTCCCCACTCTGCCGGGGGGATGCACTGGGTGGGATGGGACCCAGGGGAGTTGGGGTGCAAAACCTGCTGGGACCCTGCACTGTCTGGTCCCTCTGATGGGCCCCACGACCCAACGTTCACTGAGGGCCCCCCCACCCCCGGTGCAGGATGCAACAGGGGTTGAAAAGTTCATACTGATGGGGTGGGGAAAGAAATCTGTGGGGACCCTGAGGCCTTTGCTTCCCCGCAGGGTTACATGAAGCCGCTGAAGCAACCGGAGAACTCGCTGTTGTGTGACCCATCGCTGGTGGATGAGATCTTCGACCAGATCCCCGAGCTGCTGGAGCACCACGAGCAGTTCCTGGAGCAGATCCATGACTGCGTGCAGAACTGGCACGAGAAGCAGAAAGTAGGCGACCTCCTCGTGCAGTCGGTAGGTCCTCGCAGGGTGGATTTCCCCCGGGGAACCCAGGCGTGCCCGCTCTCGGGCATGGCCCCAGCAGGAGAAGTTTTGGAGCAGGAGGCAGAGGAGTGATTAAAGGACAGACCAAACACGCCTGAGATGGAGAACAGGAGACGATCTCCAGGCCTGCCGTCTGCTTAGCGTAACGGCAGGGTGTTGCGGCGACCGGCTGGGTCTGCAGCTTGGCGTTTCTGCCTCGGGAGCAGAAATGTCAGGGCTGAAAAATCGAGGGGGGCGGGCGGCAGGCAAACCCTCCCCGCGCCAGCCCAGAGCCAGGATTAACCCTTGGGGCAGCTTCTCCTAGGCGTGCGCAGGAGGTCCATGCTGGACCTATCCACTTTCCCTCCCATTCTTTTCCCTTCCCAGTTCTCCAAGGATGTGCTGGTGAACATCTACTCTGCCTACATCGATAACTTCCTCAACGCCAAGGATGCCGTCAGGATCGCCAAGGAAGCCCGGCCGGCGTTCATGAAGTTCCTGGAGGTGGGTCCTGGTTCCTCTCCCCATAGATACTGGCCATGGTCCAGAGCCATCTGCAAGGCTGCTGGTGGGGCAGGGTGGGGTTAATGGGAGTGAACTGGTGACCTGTGGTCAGACTGGGATTTTTCCAACAGCCGCCTTCTTGGTTGTATTGCAAAGATCCAACCGCCGCCTTCTTGGTTGTATTGCAAAGACGCTAGGTTGGGATGAACCAGAGTCACTCCGGGTGGTGTAACAGGGAGTCACCCCAGCCCCAAATGGGTGTTGCTCCAGGTTCTGAGGTGGTGGGACGCTGGGTCCCTGCCGTGTTCCACCTAACGAGGCTGTCCTTGTCCCCCACCGGTGTTTTGCAGCAAAGCATGCGGGAGAACAAGGAGAAGCAGGCTCTGTCCGACCTGATGATCAAGCCGGTGCAGAGGATCCCGCGATACGAGCTGCTGGTGAAGGTGGGTGCGGGCAGGGGGGTGTCTGTGCCGTGCCAGGGGCGGTGAGACCACGGCTCCTCCTCACCTCCACGTGACGGGAGCTTTATGGGTCTCACGTCTCTCCTGGCCCGTTTTTCCATCCCTTGCCACAAAATGGTGCCCCCGGGCGTGTGCGCGGCTCTGCCCTCCTGGGGTTGGTTACCCTGAGGACTGTCACCCCACTGTCGTCCCCCCCACCCCAGCATGTCCCTACAGGTGTGCAGTCCCCTTCCCCTCTACCTGTCTGCTGGGAGGTTGGACACTGCAGCACCATTTTGGGACCAGTCACACTGCCACCCCCTCTGTGCCTCAGTTTCCCCGTGCCAGGGTCACTCTCCTTGGCACTGAGGCTGGTGGGGATGCGTTTTTGTAGAATCACAGACTGGTTTGGGTTGGAAGGGATCTTTCAAACATCATATCGTCCAACCTCCCTGCCATGGGCAGGGACACCCTCCACTAGCCCAGCTTGCCCAAAGCCCCATCCAACCTGGCCTTCAACACTGCCAGGGATGAATCTCCAGCGTCCGTGCAAGGTGATGATGCGCTCTCAGGAGCTGGTGGCCTCTTTAGAGGTTGCAAAGACCAGGCTGGTGATGGCCAAAGCTCAAGGCTTCGTTTCTTTCCAAAACCTTTCCCCCATGGGGCTGGTTTCCTTCCCCAGCAGCCAGAGCAGCGCGGTGGGGGCTTCTGCTTGGGGGCGTCACGGCATCACCGATGCCCAGGCTTTACCTGTGGTGATGTCCTGGCTGTGTCCCCGTGGTAGGACCTGCTGAAGCACACGCCAGAGGACCACCCCGACCACCCTTTCCTCATCGATGCCCAGCGGAACATCAAGCAAGTGGCCGAGAGGATCAACAAGGGCATGAAGAGCGCGGAGGAGGTGGAGAGGAATGCCCGGATCGTGCAGGAGATTGAGTCCCACATCGAAGGGATGGAGGACGTACGTATGGGGGTCTTACACAGGGTTGGTCTTTCCTTGTCCACAAAATGCAACTATTTCTGCTCTTTCTGGGTCACCCCAGGCTGGGCCACTTGTTTTCTCCTCTGGGTCCTGCTTTCCCCATCATCACTTGGCCTTGGTGGTCTCCTGGGGGTTTGGGAATGGGCTGGGGGACCGTAGGGGCAGGGGTGAAGCCCATTATGGTCCCTCCCGGCGTTCCCCGCTCACAAGCCTCCTTGTCCCCACAGCTCCAAGCCCCGCTCCGAAGGTTTCTGCGCCAGGAGATGGTCGTGGAAGTGGTAAGAGCGGGGTGATCCCTTGTCACCATCAGAGCCATGGGACCAGACACCAGATGGGGCAGTGGGAGGCTATGATTGCACGTCATGGGATGCCTGTATGCCCATAGGAGGCTACGGATGGATGGATGGATGGATGGAAGGGTGGACAGATGGATCAATGACAGATTGATGGGGACAATAAATTCCCCAAGTGTGTGTGGGAAGATAAAATGGGTTTGGGAGCAGGAAGGAGATGGGAAGAACCCGCAGCAGCCTTGGGCCAGGGGTGGTTAGGTAGGCTGGAGGTGGAGACCATGGGGTTCCTGATAAGCCCATGCCTGGTGTTCCCATGGCCCTGGTGCTTCTCTGCGAGTGGGACCCTGGGGCTTTCCCCACATGGCCGTTGCACCCATGTTCCTTTTTACCACCATGAGGACATGGCCGCTCCCCATGCAGACAGTGGCGTGGGACCCATCCCACCCCACTGCATCCCTGTGCCAAGGCAGCACACGGGGAAACTGAGGCAGGGACTGCTCCCAGCACCAGCAGCGGGGGTGAGGTGGACATTAACCCCTTGGTGTCTCCCATCACTCTGCAGAAGGCGGTGGGTGGGAAGAAGGACCGTTCCTTCTTCCTCTTCACGGACCTGCTGGTGTGCACGACGTTGAAGCGCAAGTCGGGCTCCCTCCGCCGCAGCTCCATGAGCCTGTGAGTACTTCCTGGGGGGCACCCACCACGATTAACCCATGGCGGTAGGGCCGTCCCCACCAGCTGGGCTGTCTTTGGGGTGCTGGGGACGTGGGTGCACCTCAGCCATCCCCACCCCAACCTCACAGGTACACAGCAGCCAGCGTGATCGACACCGCCAGCAAGTACAAACTACTCTGGAAGCTGCCGCTGGAGGACGTGGACATCGTCAAAGGTCTGTCACTGCCTGCTGGAGTGTCCCATCCCACCCCAAAACCCATCGCTCACCCCTGGCTGGTAGGGAGAAGGTTCCCCTGCACGGCGCCGGGGAGGAAGGGGTTAATGCCATGCGCGTGTCCCCGCACAGGTGCCTCGCAAGCCACCAACAGGGAGAGCATCCAGAAAAGCATCTGCCGCCTGGATGAAGACCTCAGCACACTGGGGCAAGTCAGCAAGCTGTCGGAGACCCTCAGCTTCCCCCACCAGGTATGAAGATGATGGCCCTGGTGTTGTCCCCTAGCTGGCCACAGTCCCTGTGGGACCACCCGGGATGTCCTCAGTGGGAGGGAGAACCCGTGGAAGGGCTGGTGGCCATGAGTGTCCTCGAAGAACCCGGATGCCACCAGCCCTAAAGCCACCAGGAGGCTTGGGGCACCTTCTGAAGGATGCTTGGAGATGCACAGGGTCAGTGTCACATGGTGGCCCTGGTGCTATCTCCTGGCCAGACATCTTCCCCAGGGGACCAACTGGGATATCCTTGGTGGGAAGGAGAGCCTGTGGAAGGGCTGGTGGCCCTGAGTGTCCTCTAAGGGCCCAGATGCCAACAGCCCCAAAGCCACAATGGGGTTGGGGCAGCCTCTGAAGGATGCTAGGGGATGGACAGGGGCATCATCAGGCTGTTGGGCTGGTGGTGGCCCATCCCTGAGAGCTGGTGTTGTCCCCATCCCCAGAGCCTGGATGACGTGATCAAGGACCTGATGGCCGCCATCCACCGGGAGCTGGCGGAGAAGCAATCCCTGTCCTTCAGCATGGCCTTCCCCCCCAACAAGGTGGAGCTCAGCACCACCAAAGCTGATGGCACTGAGTCCTTCATCTTTGAGTTTCCCAACCCCGATGCCCGGCTCGGCTTTGAGCAAGCCTTCGAGGATGCCAAGAAGAAGCTGGGTAACACCAGGGACCGGGGAGGCGGACACGGTGGTGGGCTCAGCATCATGCCCCCACTTCAGTAGACCCCTTTCCTCCATCGCTTCTTCATCCTCCAATTTGATTTTCTCAGCTTCCAGCAAAAACTGCCTGGACCCGGAGTTCCTCAAGGCCATTCCCATCATGAAGACACGGAGCGGGATGCAGGTACTCGGTGCCTGGGTTCAAGCATCCCACGGGACCCACGGTCCTCTCCATCCCAGTGGGCTCGCTGCCAGATGCCAAGAGCTCCTGCACCATTCCCGAATGACCCAATTCATCCCATCTTTTGCTCCCTTGCAGTTTTCTTGTGCTTCTCCAAGCCACGGCAGCCCGGAAAGTTCCCACGAAGTTTGGGTTTGCAACAGCGACGGTTACGTGGGGCAGGTTTGTTTGCTCAGCATCCGTAAGGAGCCCACGGTGGAGGCGTGCATCGCCGTTTGCTCCGCCAGGATCCTCTGCATCGCCTCCGTGCCTGGTCTCAAGCGGGCGTATAGGTAGGACATTCCCACCGGCACCGCGGAGCCGGCGGGCACAGGGCAATGCTGGAGCTGCTTCTTTCCCCCCTTCCCTCGTCGCGGCAGGGAGCGTGCCGAGAAAAAAAATGACGCGTGGGGCAGCCCCTCCTGGGAGCCGATGCCGGCGCAGCCGGATGATGCGGGGCCACAGCCGTGCCTGCACATCTCCATCTCGGGTTCGTCGCTGGAGCTCTCGGAGCCGGTCGACGGTGGCAACAGGGAGCTGGTGCCCTTCGATAGCGATGACACGGATGATGAGTCCTCGCCCAGTCCGTCAGGGACACTGCAGAGCCAAGCCAGCCACTCCACCATCTCCTCCAGCTTCGGCAGTGAGTCCCTGCTTAGCAAAAAATCACTTCTTTGCCCCAAAATTATAGAATGGTTTGGATTGGAAGGGACCCTTACAGGGCCTC